ATTAATTTTTTGCAAAGTGTTTACAGGAACAACAAAGAGGAACCTGAAAGGAAGTCTCATCTGTTTTACTGTTTAAAGTTTATTTTTATAATGCTTTAGTAACTTATCTAATTCTCAGAGGGGGGAATATGTATCAAATTAACGCACCAGGTTAAAGAGGTATTGGTTTGTCATCAGTATAATTCACATTTTACTTTGAGAAAACCTTTGGGTAAGAAAATGTGTTTGAACCTAAGGAAAAAATTAAATGTGGGAAATACTGTCCTGCTAAAGGATTTTGCAGTCCTCTGTTAGTAACTTCCATGGTTTAGGTTAGATGCATTCAGGAAACCCATAAGCTTCATTTTCACCACCCTCTCCCACAATGAAGTATCTAAAGCCGAAGGTTCTTATCTTTGCTCTGAGATATCCTTCAGTCTTTCCTCCACTTAAAACAAACCTCTTCACTTGTAAAAGACAATAGGCAAGCTAATTAAATAAGTGTATTTTTTAAGAAATTCAACCTCAGCCTTTTCATTAGGAAATAGTGTATCTCAATATCTTTCTTTGTAAAATGAGGCTCCTTTTGGCTCTACCTCATAAGGGTATTCTACAAAAACTACTTTGTAGATGTTTCCAAAAATGAAATCCATAGTATCATATGATAGAATATTTATAACTTTTTATTACATGCTTACTGTTCAATTAAATAATTTTGATGTGAAGATTAAAATAATATGCTTAAAATGCCTTGAGAATTTTCATATTTTTTATTTTTAAACAAGGCTGTTTTGTAGTATCTTAAAATCAAATACAACTGCTCCTGGTTTTTGTTTTTTTTGTTGTTGTTGTTTTTAAACTGAGGCTTTTAAGTATTTTTTGTGAATAGGTATCACCTAGGAATTCAGAAAAGGTTGCAATATGTTTTCTAACTAAATGCAGTACATATTTCCTGGGTCAACTTTCAAAGATTGGTTAAAATCTGCTGCGTAAAACATACGAGTTTTTCATCAGATTTACTGATGATATAAATAAAACATGTAAATATATTAGTAAATATTAATGTTTGTGTATTTTAAATTGTTTTAAAATTTGTTAGTGATTTTTTCATTCAAGTGAAAACAGATGTGTGCAGCTATTTTGAATATTAGCTTATAAACATTCATATTCTTATAAAAAATAGAACTACAAGCCAATCTCTTTAATGAACCTAGCAGCAAAAATCACCAGTAAGATACTGAATGCAACAAGTTATTAAGGTACATGTATATAACAAATCCCAATTCCTTTTTTATCCTCTTTGCCTTCCCTCCCTCCATCTCTTCATCCCCTTCCCCTTTCAGAAAGATCTATCTCCCTCCTTCCTATCATCTATCCTTTATTCTGCTCTTTATTTTTATTCTAGGTTTCTCATATAAGAGAAACACTGATATTTAAACTGTGTCTGATTTATTTCACTTAATGTTACAGTCTCAAGGTACAGCCATTGAAATCCAAATTTTAAAAGGAAACAAACTACAAGGCCATTTTTTAACACGGAAAACGTCAAAACAGGGCCAGGTGCGCTGGCACACGGGAGCACTGGGGAGGTCAAGGCAGGAGGCTTGCCTGGAGTTCAAGACCAACCTGGGCTATACAGTGAATTCAAGTGCTGGGATTAAGACTACAGAAATACACCACCACACCTGGTTATGAAAGCTGTTTTGGTTTTTTTGTTTTGTTTTGTTTTGTTTTGTTTTTTAATATCGAAACTTCCAGCCAGGGGTGGCGGCGCACAGCAGTAATCCCAGCACTCTGGAAGCTGAGGCAGGAGGACTGCTGCGAGTTCGAGGCCAGCCTGAACTGCACAGCGAGACTCTGTCTCAAAAAGGAAGGAAAAGAAAAGACACCTCCTTGGCGAAGGAGTAAGGCGCACACAGCCGGCAACTCCGGGCTCCCCTCGGGCGGGGTGAGCAAGCCTCCGGCCGGTAGGGGCCCGTGGGGCCCGCAGACGAAAAGCCGGCCCCGCTCGGCGCCTTCGCGGAGCAGCCCCGGGGAGGCTGAGCAAGCCGGCCGGCGGCGGGAAGCGGGCCGCCTCTGC